AAGACAGGTGGGCCTCAAACCCCTTCCGGCTAGGGAATTCTGGGAGTTGAAGTCCACCCATCTTAAAGTTGCCAAGGTTGAGGAACCCTGATCTAGGAGACACAGAGCAAGTAAAAATTCCCTCCACAATACGATGGCATTTTCATCCAATAACTCAAATGCCAAGAATATTTTTGTTTGGCTAACATTATCTTTGTATTTGGAAAATTAGATCTTGAAATTTAGTATTATTAAGTTGAGGCTTACATTCTGACAAATTGGGGTTTTATTTCATATTAATATTTCACATTAATTTATTTCCTTATAGAAATCACAACACTTACATTCACTTTTGTTCTTTTTTCTTTTCAGGTATGTTTTTGTTCCTTATCTCTTTTTTACCAATACTTCTCTAGTTTTATATAAGAAAACAGTGTCTCTTATATCTAAGAATACTGTTAATGCACATGTATTTTCCTCTTACTTGATTGGACACAGGGATGAAATTTCAGGCAGTAGCCTGTCAACCATGCGCATTAATGCATCCTTTCAGCTAGCCACAAAGCATTCCCTACTCTAAACGCTTTTGTAACTTAATCTGGCACGAGCTGAAGATTTTCTTTTCAGTGCTGCTCCTTACAATTTAGAAGAAAGAACACTGAAACTAACTTCTGTATTCAGTATTGCAAAATAATTTGGAAATTTTAGGTAAGTTCTGTTTATATTTCTAATCAAAGAGACTTCTTACAATGTGCTAAATTAAAATGGTTATTTTACCAAAGTATAGTGGATAGTGAAATTTTCTACATCCCAATCCCTAAAATGTATTTAAAGTGTAAAATGTAAAAAGGTGAAAGAATGAAACATCCAGATAAACAAAAATGCTGAAAGCAATTCATGTGTTTATATGTCAGCAAAAAATCAATTTTTATTTTAATGTGATGAAATATTTATACTGATTTCCATAAAAAATGAATAATCTCTAAAATCTTTGAAATAGTTTGAAAAAAATACTGCTGTGTTACTGGATGAATCTGTGTAAGACTACCTGCCTATTGTATATTTTGAAGATGCAGTAGGAGCATCAGTTTAAACCCAGCTAAGCTGGGAAAACAAAATAGTTATCACATACCATGTAATATACTGATAGTTTTAAATTATTTTTAATTGATATGTTTTCTTCTTGGGATGGTAGAATTAAGTGTGTTCTTGAAAGGGTAGCTGATAGCTAGGTTTTCAGACTGTCCTTTTAATTTGCAATGTGCCTTTATGATATATTCATACTGTAACACATCCAGATAACAATCATGCCATTGTATCATCATTCATTATCTCACCACATACTTCATATCATTTCTTTTTCTCTTAGGGTACAATATCCTATAATGTACATTTCCACAGTACTTTGCTTTAAATTTGGGGAGGAGGAATTGGCAGACTACATTATCAGAGGAAAGTTTCTTGTCTCTCCTCCATCTGACCAGTCCCCTGCCATTCTCCTCCTCCTCAGAACTGTGGAATTCTGGCACAGGTAAAGACATCACAAGTCTTTACCTGTGCCAGAATTCCACAATTTTCCGAAAGTACAATTTATTTTTCAGAATTTAGCTCTACCCTCTCCACTTTTTATATTTTTCATCATTCACATTCAGATGTTCAAATGTGTATGATAGAGATTATCTTGATAGCTGCATTCCTTCCTTCCTTCCTTCCTTCCTTCCTTCCTTCCTTCCTTCCTTCCTTCCTTCCTTCCTTCCTTCCTTCCTTCCTTCCTTTAAAAAAAGCATGTTTCTGCATACCTGTATGCCGCTGTAACAGCACTGATTTCTGATCAAACTAATAATTTTTAATCTAAGGGTGAGGAGGTTCTTTTGGGAAATCATACAGATCAGCAACAGACTGTTTCTATTTTCCTTGCATTTCCCCAGGTAGGTTTTTATTACAAAAAAATCACATACTTATTTTCTACCTTATGTACTTAACTAACTTACCTAATAAGCCAATGCTATCTTAAACTCTATCTATACTAAATCTGTGTCTGTATCTTATTCCTAATAAGCCAATGCTATCTTAAACTCTATCTATACTAAATCTGTGTCTGTATCTTATTCCTAATAAGCCAATGCTATCTTAAACTCTATCTATACTAAATCTGTGTCTGTATCTTATTCCTACACAATCTATTCTTTGTGGCTTGAGCATACACCAAAGTCATTAGCCACCCTTCAGATTGGCTTCTGTTGCTGTCAGCTTCTGTTCTAAACTATTGCTGAAGCACCGACTTAGCATTTCTCAGTCTGTGCTGGGGCAAGATAAGGGAGGTGCTTTACCAGCTGCTGGCTGGCGGTAGCTTCTCAGTGTGGCTGCTGGGCTCAGCTTCTCCTTTCAGTTTGTCTGCTGCTGGTTTGGTGAAGTCCAAGCCTGTTCCTCCTTTACCATCAGTTGTCCATTGAGCTGATGGCTATTCCACTCCCTCAACTGCAAACTCCTCCTTTCTGCTCTCCCCCATGACACGGCACACCTCCACACCCACACTCTGGTGATCTCCATGTGTTCCTTTTACAATCGAAACCAGGTGTGGTGCAATGTCCTTTAGGCTGCTTTAAAGTCCCAGGGGAGAAAACAAAGGGAAGGAAGAGTTCATGCTGCCCACTGTAAGGCTTTCCTTCCACACAGAATAAGCCACTGCCCTCTATGAATAGTTCCTTAATGCAGTGTTCCTCAACCTTGGCAGCTTTCAGATAGGTGGACTTCAACTCCCAGAATTCCCCAGCCAGCCTTGTGTTCATTCTGTCCACAGCCCTACCCGCTGCCCCAGTTCCTTCTCTGGGTAAGTAGATACATCAGAGAAAAATAGTGCAACCAGCAAGCTTTTCCTGCAGGAATTTCTAGACAGGCATCATCTGAGCAAGGAACATCAGCATTCAAAATTCATAAACATTGCTTGTTCTTGAAAATTGCAGCTTTAGGACATGGTCCGAGGTCCAGCTCGTTTTCTGTAATCTTCCTTTCCTTTCCTTTCCTTTCCTTTTGTAAGGAATGGTTAGACTAACTGCCTATTTTGCTTTTGTGTTTCAAGCTTTTGCTGACCTAGTGACTGTGTGGCTACGGTCAGTCTAGATGCTATTAAGGAAACTAGAAAGGCTTCTTTTGCAAATAGGGAACTCAGGAAAGTTACAAGACGCTGAGCATGTAGAGGTTAGCCTGATGGTAATAGGTTATAAGAGGAAATGGGGGGGGGGCGGGGAATGTGGTTAAGCTAAAAGCCAAATGTCTTCCTTGCTCATATCAAAGGCCCTGAAAAGGGGAAGCGTCTGCAATCTTCCCCGTTCCTCCTCCCTGCTCCCAGAGCGAACCATGCTAGCTCCAAAAATAAGGAAGTGCCTCCCACGGCTAGACCTTAGTCTGAAAAAGGGAAGAATGCCCCAGAACAGGGGTCTGCAGGGACGTATAAGGAATAAGAGTTAGGGGCTTTCAGGGGAGGGAACCATTTTGAATTAATATAAGCAAACAGGGGAGGGGAATAATATATTCTGGAATTAATATAAACAAACAAGGATGGAGAATAATGTATTCTGTTCAAGTTTCTTTGAATGGCTGTAAAAACTCATCTTTATTATGCTTTCTGATGACAGAAAAGCTATAAAACCTGTTGTAAACTGTTTTAAGGTGTGGCTGGTCTTTTTCTCCCTTCTGCCAACCCGGCAAAGAGGGGGCCAACCCTCCTTTTTCCCTGGCCAAAAAAAAACCTGAAA